TGAAATTCATTCCACTTTTAGTTGCACTATATAATTTAAAATATTTTATTCGTTTCTAAAATATTCGTCCTTTGCGGCTAGCTTATTCACTAATTTGACAAATTAATTCACAGTAAGTATACTGTGCAGAAATAACCGCAACAAGACGACGCAAGGGAAAAGATACGATCGCGTTTGCCATTCGTTTTTGATCAGAATGGTATGAACTGCTGAGAACAACAACACAATAATCAAATCCAAAAAATCTTAAGAAATGTCTGTGAGGGTTAGGACGAGAAGATTGGGTGGAGATATGGATTTATGTTTTCGAGTCAAAAACAATACCTTATATTTAATAATTGTTTGCAATTCCTTACAACAGTTAAGCCGTATATAAATATAATCATTTTATATATACAACTTATACAATATATACCTTATTAGCGAAATAGAATAGCTAGGACGAAAGGACTTAAAAGACATCCCTATATATAGATAAGTAAAATTTATTCTACATTAATATTTAGTCGACTGTAATCACTGCCTGAATTTAATAATCCAAAAACAACATTCGACGTTCACTGCTTGGTTATTTCACCGGTTTCACATGTTCTAAAACGCTTGAAGCATGGGTTCTAAATTTTAGAACGACGCAATTAATAAGCGTCGCCAGATTATAATCTAAATAATCTAAGCGACGCTTTCGTTAGTTCAGTGTTAGTTACCAGGACCGGCGGGAAGGTAAATAACAACATGGCGGCTTGCCGAAGTGCTATGTCATCCACATCACAGCGTCCTAGCGCTTTAAAGCGGCGAAAATCAGTGTTTTGAGTCAGTGGCGTAGGAAGGGGGGGGGCACTGGGGGCACGTGCCCCCCCAAGATTTTTCAAGGGACCAAAAGTGCCCTTTTTGGGAAAAAAAATGCCTTTTTGGGAAACGAAAAGAAAGAAAAAAAGTATCTACTATTTCCCATTAATCCTTAAATTGAGAGGGATTTGCGGCCATTTCAGAGGCCTATATCTCAAAATTTTCTCGGGGGAGCATGCCCCCGGACCCCCCTAGCAGTACGAAGCCCAAGAAATACGAAAAATGTTCTGCTGTCGGCGGTCCCTGAATCAAGCCGTCCCTATATATATATATATTTTTATTAACCATTTTAACCGTCATTTTTATTAACCAAAAGTGCCCCTAGAAGCTGGTGCCCCCCCAACCTCTGGATGCTTCCTACGCCCTTGTTTTGAGTGTTTCAACGTCGGGAAAAAAAATCAAGAAAAAGCTTTTCTTTAAAAGTTCGGAGAAATACAATTAGTGACAGAAGTGTTGATAGAAAATATGGCCAAGGAGAGTTAGATTCAGCGGTGGATATTAATATAAATCAAGGCACATTTGGACAGCAAATATTTGACGAGTCAGATCAGGAGGGCCCTGTAACGTCTCAACACCATAAACGGAGATTTAAAGAGTTCAGTAGCTGGGGAAATATTCGGGAAGAACTGTTAAACGCCCGAATTGAGACAGAGGCCGAGGGGTTTTTTAGCAACCAGAAATGTTGTGAATGTGGGCAAAATCAGGTTGATGTTCGTTGTAACGAATGTGGCATTGAGCAGTATTTCTGCCTATTATATGTGCTGAAAATATTCACGGGCGACGAAATTATTTTACATGTTTTGGAAAAGCTTCAGGTAAATGCAATTCATACTTTATTTTCATGTAGAAAATAAGTAAATGTTTATAGCAAAACACCATGCAGTCCAGAAAAAGAGGATAGAGTGTAATTTTTGTTTTCTTTTATATGTAGGATGAAAACATTGTGCCATTTTTTGTCAATCAGGTTGTCATTGGAAGAGAGCATCAAAAAAACTGTCCATCAGCCCAACCTAGATGGATCAGTTTGGTAATTAATTTCCTTTGTATAAACACATATACACTTGTAAGAGTTGTTGTTATTGTTAAAGGAGTTTCCATACATCTCAGGATGGAGTTTATCCATGAAATTCAAACATGATTTAGATTGAATAATTAGTTGTCAATTCTGTATGATATTTAGGTTGCCAACATCATAAGCAGCTACAGTTTGTGATTGTGAGAAGGATGCTGTAACATTGATGAAAATGAAGTTATGGCCAGGAAGTGCAACAAGACCAACTCTTGCTTTCCATGTTCAATTAATGGAGCTGGTTTGAACTCTTATATTAGAGTGTCATGTTTCCCTTAAAAATTGTTTTGTGATGCGCTAGGAATTTTTTCCAAAAAATCAACTCTTCCAAAATGGGTAAAGTATTGTTGTTTGTTTAAACATGAATTATCATTGCTACTAGAGGCTCACATTAGACTTCCACCACTGTGACCATTATATTAAAAAACATAACATACACATATTTTATTAATGGCTCACCAGATCACAATTTTTTGGCAGGTAAACAATATCTACAATTTCAGGTTTGATTTAGAGCTGTATTACCTGTATATAGACATATAGTAAACATTGTCTTTGCACAAATGGTGTTGTAAAAAATAGTTTGCAAGTAACTTGAATTTCTTCTTATAGGAAGGGGAATCTGGTATTCTTATAGAATCTATGGATGCATGTTTTGGTTTGGTGCGAAAAAAGTCTGCTGCCAAATGTATTCTTCCCCCCACGGCATCAACTGACTATGTTCGCAAATCAAACTGATGTTGATGAATTTGTTGAAATTTATACATCCAATGCCAAAAAAGCTGATACAGTAAGTATGCAATTTGAACCAATAATCTTGAACAACTGAAAGTGTTTTTATTAAGTCTTTTTCTATTATTTAGAGCTGCAATGAGTTTAAGGCTGGGGAAGTTAACAGTATGCTTCGGTCCAAAGGAAAAAATAGATTATATGATGAGAAAGGTGTTTTTGGTCGTGCATGTATGCAGACATGATTCTCCAAAAGGCTTTATAAATATCAAACATGGTGAAAGGTACAGTAATGTGTGTACAAATTGCGCATATATGTTTCACATGTTAATAGTTAATCATTTTACAGAATTGCATACTCTGTACATGACCTAGAGCGAGTAATCAGGACTTCAGATGAAAATTGCAAGATTAGAATGACATATGATATTGCTTGCACATTGGTAGCACATTTAAGGTAAACAAATGTACTAGTAAAACTAATTGAATTCTTATACCTGACTGTTTTTCCAACAAATTCGATTTTATTTAGCAAACAACTAAAAACATTTCAAATTTTCAATGCATTTTTGCTAAGTTGCATTATTGGGACATATATTTTGGCAAATCAAAAATGTATATGCAGTATGGTATTTCTTTAAAAAATTCAAGACAAGATATTTTGGACCGCATTGGGTTTGCAATACCTATTTTTCATTGCTATGGCCATAAGTCATCATGCCAGGTGATTTTATTTGTTCTTTAACCACTAGTCTCTACTAATGTAATTAATGGTAAATAGCAAGGCTTTGATTAAACCAACAGCTTTATTACTTCAAAGATTATAAAGAAGACTGCCACTATATAGTATCGCTGATAATATTGTTAATGTACTTCATGAAGTTCATACTTTACCTACCTGTTGAACTTCAATATTTGAACCTCTCAGGTAGAATTTAGTCCAAGACGGCAAGAAGGGTATGGCCTGACAGATGGTGAAGGCATTGAAAGGCTGTGGTCTTACCTAAGACGACGAACAGATGTGCTAACTGATGCTTTGTTACATTATGGTGCTCGTCAGCTTCGAAATTTCGGTATAGAATTGTCTTTAGGAAAAATAAGTGTGTAAAATAATTTTAATGTGCAACAATTGTATTGTTCATGACCTTCATTGCAAGCGAAACTTAAAAGGTGCTCAAGTATAATAGTGCATACATTGTCGCAAATACAAGAACTATTTTCCAAATTGCCAGGTAATTTAAATAAAGCCTTTATATTAGTGTACTGACTAAGTAGTATAGAGAAGGGGGGTTCTGGAGCAGGCGGTGCCGATGACGTCGTCGAATCTTAAATATTTTAATTTATTCAGGTAATTTTAATATAATAATTTTCTTGTATGATTGCATGGCGACTTTAGTAATTATAATAACTTGTAGGTACACCACGTAAGTATTAAATACTGCAAAGCTTTCGGTCCGTTAACCCGGACCTTCATCAGTGCAATTACTTGAATACACGTTTGCGCGTCACTTAAATATCATGTTAGTCGTGATTAGTTTGCTCGCGCTATTAATTAAACGGTTCATTTTTAAGTTCTAATTAATGCGCGCGCCCTAGACAAGTATTTGACTAAGAGGACACCGAAAAGAGCACGCCAGTACTATTAAGTGGCTTTCCTCTTGGACGATAGTTTGATGTTATTAAATTTTCAATAGATTCTCTCATTTTACGAGAGACAGTAAACTTATCGTTTGCTAAAATGGTAGCATCGTTCCATTTAATGCGATGATCATAAGTCCATGCATGGTGAGCTACTGCAGACTTATCCAGTTTACCTTTCTCGCAGTTCGTCTTATGTTCTTTAAGACGTATTGAGAGATTTCTACCGGTCTCTCCAATGTAAACCAAACCACATTCACATGGAATGCGGTACACACCAGGTTTCTGTTGTTCATCGACGCCATCCTTGTGTGTGTAAAGAGCGCGAAATAATTTGTTATTGCTAGAATGGTAAACTTGTATTCCAACTTCTTTTAAAATCCTAACGATTTTATATGAAGCTGGGCCAATATATGGTAAACAGACAGAGGATAGATATTCCGTGTCTTGCCTCTGTCTTTGCTGTTCATTCATAGCATGTTCTATGAATTTCTTAGGATAACCATTCATGTGCAGAACTAACATGATATGACTAATATTCATTATGACTAATATTCATCATATGATATTCATCACGACTAACATGATATTTAAGTGACGCGCAAACGTGTATTCAAGTAATTGCACTGATGAAGGTCCGGGTTAACGGACCGAAAGCTTTGCAGTATTTAATACTTACGTGGTGTACCTACAAGTTATTATAATTACTAAAGTCGCCATGCAATCATACAAGAAAATTATTACAGAACTCTATGGAGAGTATTTTCATAAATCATTTAAACGACTTGACCGGCTTTCACAACAACGCTCAAGATTAATCAACAACTTAACCTTCCTGAAAAGGTGTCGAGACAACGAAGTTGTTCCGAAAGGTTTGCGTATGTTTAATTGTTTCCATACTAAGCATGCAGGCAAAATCTTGAAGAAAGCCGAGTTGGCACTGTTACGAGAAAGAATTGCTTGGACGCGTAAACAACTAAGCGGAGTGGATGACAACATCGCTACTCTTACAGAAGAACTTTGGTTAACTTTTGAGAAACATTTTGCTGTTGCAAAAAGAATGATAGATGCTTCTTTTACGCGTACCTTTAATAAAGCTCGCTCAACACAGATCGCCAAATACACAAGATTGACGTCCGAAAGATCAAAAGATAAAAGAAGACAAGAAGATTTGGCTGTTGACACTCTAAGACGCACTGTTGTTAACCAAAGTGCGCGAAAACTTATGCCGGTTGAAGAAGAAGTCTTGGCATTGGGTTTAAATTTCGCTGTTGTACCACACAAGATTCCTAAAGAAGAAATCGTTCAACATCTGGAACCAAAGTTGAATCATCTCAGAGATGATATAGCATCCAACATTCGTGTTAAAGTAACTGAGGTCTTGCGACGTACAACTTTACCCAAGTCTAATCTGTGACCTTCCACGGGAAAACGTACGTTAACGATATTTCGTTGAAACGGCAAAACGAACGGATAACGAACGGGTAGTGAACGATTTGTCATAACGTTTCAACGAACCCAAAAAACGTTTTGACGAATTCAGCTAAAAAAGTGAACGTTTAAAGTCGAGAATACGAACGGATAAATAAACGTTCAATCTGAAGCCGTTTGAACGTTTTATCTTTATGAACGGTTTTAACGATCTAGTCTGAACGCCTGTTGCGCGTATGATTGACGCAAGATATTATTGACTAATTAAAAGAATAGGAAATACTTTCAAACACGTAACATGTGTTGGCGCAAATATGCGTGTACATAAAAAGCTATACCTTCATTTTAATGCTTAACTAAAATTATTAGCTATACTACCTAAATCACAATATTATATACTTTATATACATATATACATTTGCATTTTGCATCAAAATTCGGGTTTATTCGTTAGAAAGCCTTCAGTTATTAGTACAAATTATCATCGTTATGTCGAATTAATCAATGCATCATCTGCAACTATACCCATCAAAATATTCAGCGCGTGTTTATTTGCAACAACGTTACAGATGTTGTAAATCTCTCCACGGACAAACTATATGTATGGGTGGTTAAGGACATATAAACACATCATGCATGCATCCGTTTTATTAACACGGCTCTAAACCGAGAGTAAACGAAGATTGCCATAAAATGGCCTGGCTTCGATAATAATATCATAGGCAATGTCATCGGTCACCGTCTCAGTTTGGTTGAGTTTCAGCTACTGGATACATATTTTATGTTAAACTAAACACAAGAGATTCCATTGTACACTTTTACTTGTACTCTTTGACGCGCAAACGACTAAATTAATTAGCGCAAGGATCAAGTTGTTTACAGATGATAACCAGACATTAATAACAGTTATACAGAATATCGCATACGGAAAGTTCGTTTGTATGCGAACCAGCGTAGTAACGTGTGCTTGCATGCTGTCAAAACTTATTTGGTATCAATAGCCTACTACATTAAATATCCAAACCATTTATGCACGTGAAAATCCACATTTAAATTTCAGCAATGCATTGCGCGGTAATAAAATATTTAAAATATAAGCTTGAATATTTACCTAGTGCACACAATATGTTCCGTGCGGCAATAGCCTCTAGCTGCGGTCAAGCTTGTCGCGGAATGTCGCCTGTCACATACACAGTACTGTCAGTAGCAACTAAGGGCATCATTATACCTTAAGAATATTTTAAAATATGATAATAATCTATTTTATCGACTGCATGCACCATCGCCATATTTTGTTCGCAAAGCTAAAGCTGCAATGTCCTTATTTCTGCCGCCATATTTTTTCATATAAGTGATATGTTTTGTGACCATACGATGACGTTTGCATGTGTTATGACTTATGAACCAGTATATCGCTAATTAATACTTGTGATATTAAATTAGCTAACTAAATTCTTGGTGGTCACTATATTCATCAGGAAATATTTTATTTCCCCCCAAATATTCGACCATCTACATAGTTAACTGTGTAAATACTTATGCTAGCTGCATGAGCCTAACAATAGTGACCTAAAGAAATAGAACGCGTAAATTAATGGGATAATTTTCGAAATCTTCATTTCAAACGATCGCGGCAATCCGCAATCCTGAAGGTCCGAAAATCCGCCCTGCAAAGCAACTTAATACTCAACCCCGGCAGCAAGAAAAATTGCACACTATTTTCACTAAAGCATATAGCAATAGCAGACGGCCCATATAGAAACCGTGTTTTTAAATCACAAAGAGTGCAAATAATTTTCTGCAAAGCATATAGCAATGCTGACGCCCATATAGAAACGACAATGCCAAACGCATGCACAGGGGAGTTTATACTCACCATTTTAAGAAACAAACGATCCTCAACATCTTCGAGACATCTACTTGTGACACAATTTGTGCCTCCTGCTTACAGTAAAATTAACTAATCAAGATTAATTAAGACATGCATGAAAGCATTAATCCATTTTGTCTGGCGAAATCTTTTTATATCATATAATATATATATTTCGAGGTAGCATCTACCCTTTTTTTATGAAAAATGTCAGCAAAGTTTGTAAACAATTGTTGTTTCAATGTAAGTAAATGCATCCTATAAATTGTAACCACCAAGCTAACAACTACTCTAACCTCAGCCAAGCCATTTTAAGGTCTGGCAACCTTTCATGTCATGTTTATTCGGAATGATTGGATGATCGTGGCCCAACTTGATTTCACCGGCCATGATAAGCAATCTAAAGGGTTATATTGCAGTGCGCATTTATATCCGAATACATTTTACTCGCGTTAACATATACATAAAATGCAATTGAGAACGCCTTGTTATATACAATTGCATGATCATCTATATGAAATCTTACTTCGAATGCGTGTCATATTTCGATATATGCATGGATCAATAGAGAGCTACAGTTTAGCCAAGCAAACACACTCAAGAAAAAATACCTTAAATCGAGCCAACCGTCATACGAATTCTGTTGATGATCTCATTGATAAGCCGGATTTCAATGCTTGGAGGAAAATAATTGCAAGTGCGCCTAATAAAGTGGCCCAGTCATGACTTTCCTTATATCATAGCTAATGTTTCATTTAGTGTTCATACCTGGTATTAACCTTTATATATGCACGCGTTAAAACGCCTTGACTTCTCCATAGATGCTAATATCCACCGAGTATTTGGGACAGTCTTCGCGAAATTATTGGTAAAGATCTTTACCCGCGCGCTCATGCACGCATAAACAGTTGATAGGCGCCATTTCAAATTTGCTCATTTTGCCGCTCTAGCTGGCAGGCGTTCAAGTGCAATGACCATGCATAATTGCAATTTAATATCCGGAATGTAATTTCCCAATAAAGGAGCCCAAATCAAAATTAGTTAAAATTTTCCTGTTTCCCAACAGCTGATATGTTGTCCAAGCAAGATAAATTCCAATGCTCCTTTTCTGATGAATTATATATAGCGAAATATATGTAGCAAAATATCTGAAAGGTCAAACTTAAATGTTTGTAAACGTTAGCTTGGCAACTTGCCCTTTAGGGGCATGTCAGCCCAGTTGTGCGCAAGGAAGGACTGCACGCACTTTAAAACATAGCGCAAAACTCAACCTCACAAAACACGGAATTTTTTTTGTAATAAACAATGTCACACAATGAACATCATTGATATAGGTTCATTACTTTCATACAGTCTCTATCATTTATACGATTTGAGTCTTTTCCGCGTTCCACGTTTCCGATTCGAGGAGCAAGTCGAGAGAAATCAAATTACAACCAAAATATACACGGGGAGTGAATTGTGCTGAAATGTGCACATATCAATATATATGAAGTATTTTTTTGTGAATTAAGAGTCTAAATAAATATTTACAATGCATGAGTTATATTTATGCCATAAGTTATATTTATGCAATTGCCACCTTTCAACATGCCAGCAACGATCGAGCCAGATGGCTTAGATCTGGGGAGACAAAGATACCTTTTTAAGGAAATAAGACAATTTTGTAAGCGGGGCACTGAGGATCTTGTTGCTCCGGCTCCAGTTTTAGACTAGATGCACGTACATATTTAAATTGCTATGATATTCATGCAGTGGCGAAACGAACAGAGCCGAGGATGGGGTCTTGAGCTATACTTGGTACTGCGGGGTCCCTTAATTCGCTGTTTGTCATAAATCACGTTTTGCTTATACTATGATGTTTCGTTATCTATCCTGGCCCCAATAAATGGGGATCTCTTAGTTCTCCGCGTCGTAACCCTACCGAACGCGCGTTGGGTCACTGTATTTATGTCTTCAAATATTAGCTAGGGTATTTCAATTGTTGTATAATTTGTAGCTATGTCAGACTGCATTAAAAACAACGAATTTCAAGCTAGATAAGTTTATCAGATGTAAATAAATTAGCTAAATACACATGGTTCAAAAGTACGATATTAATATGTAACACGCAAAATCCCTCAATTCATTTTAAAATCTGGTTTTGTCTGTTTACATACATTTAGAGACTTCCGACAATTATGCAACCTAATTAGCACCTTGCCAAGGCATATTATGGCTCGTAAATGCTAATATATTGCTTGCGACGTTATTTGTGCGCGCGGTGAAATTTGGCTTATGGAAGCTACAGAAGTATAGTAAAGCACAAACTCTAACCATTTAGTGCATTACCGAAATTCAAAAGACGATAAATTTTTGAAAGAAAGCTTACGACGTGAAATTTGACGCTAATGAAATAATTGCATGCACTGAATGTTAATAGCCTTCATGTCTGCATGATCATGACGCTAAGCATGAACCATAACATGAAGCGCACAAAATAGCATTCGCGATTAGGCTAAAGGGATATTTCCTTTACAAGCCTTCTACTAAGGAACTAAATACGTTTCTGGGAGTATTTCTGTGTAGCACATTCTGCGCTTTCTTCTACAAAGTTGTAACATTGCAAATGTTTAATCTAATATGTTGAACCAAATCCAATGCGATTGAACGAAATTCCGGCAAACGTTTCAACGAACGGTAAATCAAACGGTTGAACGCTTTTAGACCAATTTTCAAACGTTTTTTCCTAAGCATTCGAACGGGCAATTTCGAACGATGAACGATCTCGAAAATCGTTTCAACGAACGCTTCAAGCGTTTGAACGGCAAACGAACGGATAACGAACGATATTTTCGAACGAACGAAATAGCGTTAACGTATGTTTTCCCGTGGAAGGTCACATCCAAGGAGCAGAAGGATGCAGTGAGGAACCTAAGGGCAGATAAGTCTATACATATTTTAAAGGCTGATAAGGGTAATGCTACGGTTTTATTAAATCGTGCAGAGTACGAAAGTAAAATCCATGCTCTTCTTGAAACTCCAACATATAAAGAGCTAAAACGTGATCCTACAGCCAATATTGAACGTAAAGTATGTTCTAAACTATCTGAACTTAGGAAATCAGGTATTTTGTCTCAAAACCTTCATGATTATTTGAGACCTTCATGTAGTGTGTGCCCAAAAATTTTATGGTTTACCCAAAATACATAAATCAGGTGTACCTCTTAGGCCTATAGTTGCATCCCAAGGTTCACCGACTTATAATTTAGCTAAATATCTTGCTAGAATTTTAAAACCAGTTGTTGGTCAAACTGAACATCATGTAGTTAATTCTAAAGAATTTGTTACGAATATGCAAGATGTTAGATTAGGTAAAAATGAAATTCTTGTCAGTTTCGACGTAGTTAGTTTATTTACTAATGTACCAGTAGATGAGGCGTGTAACATTGCGAAAGACAGGCTGCTTTCAGATGATACCCTCTCTAAAAGGACTAGCCTTTCTCCTGAGAGTATATATGAACTACTGAAATTGTGCCTGAATACAACTAGTTTTCAGTGGCGGGAGAAATACTACGAGCAAACTCATGGTGCTCCTATGGGTAGTCCCTTATCACCAGTTATGGCTAATTTATTCATGGAAGAATTTGAAAAGAAAGCTATAGCTACAGCATGTTTAAAACCTGGTTTCTGGTTTAGATATGTAGATGACACATTAAGTAGTTGGTCGCATGGTTTAGAAAATTTGAATAAATTTTTAGATCACATTAATAGTATACACCCTTCAATTAAATTCACATTAGAAATACAGAAAGATAACTCTATATCTTTCTTAGATATCTTATTTGATGTAAAAGAGAACGGGACTCTGGGCCATAAAGTTTATAGAAAACCAACACACACTGACAGATATCTGAATTATAGTTCATTTCACCATCCTAGCATTAAAAGATCAGTATGCAAAACATTAATCAACCGTGCCAAAACAATTTGTGATTCAAATAGCATTGACTCAGAGTTAAAGCATTTGAAGGATGTTCTGCACATGAATGGTTATCCTAAGAAATTCATAGAACATGCTATGAATGAACAGCAAAGACAGAGGCAAGACACGGAATATCTATCCTCTGTCTGTTTACCATATATTGGCCCAGCTTCATATAAAATCGTTAGGATTTTAAAAGAAGTTGGAATACAAGTTTACCATTCTAGCAATAACAAATTGTTTCGCGCTCTTTACACACACAAGGATGGCGTCGATGAACAACAGAAACCTGGTGTGTACCGCATTCCATGTGAATGTGGTTTGGTTTACATTGGAGAGACCGGTAGAAATCTCTCAATACGTCTTAAAGAACATAAGACGAACTGCGAGAAAGGTAAACTGGATAAGTCTGCAGTAGCTCACCATGCATGGACTTATGATCATCGCATTAAATGGAACGATGCTACCATTTTAGCAAACGATAAGTTTACTGTCTCTCGTAAAATGAGAGAATCTATTGAAATTTATAAACATCAAACTATCGTCCAAGAGGGAAAGCCACTTAATAGTACGTGGCGTGCTCTTTTCGGTGTCTCTTAGTCAAATACTTGTCTAGGGCGCGCGCATTAATTAGAACTTAATTAAATGAAACCGTTTAATTAATAGCGCGAGCAAACTAATCACGACTAACATGATATTTAAGTGACGCGCAAACGTGTATTCAAGTAATTGCACTGATGAAGGTCCGGGTTAACGGACCGAAAGCTTTGCAGTATTTAATACTTACGTGGTGTACCTACAAGTTATTATAATTTTAATATAGTTGAGCACTTGAGCTTTGCCGGTTTGTTACTCAGCAATTTCGGTTTATTTTCATGCGATTTCGCTACCGTTTATTTATCTACATCGTTCGGTAGTGTCTGGGTACTTCATTACCGTTAGCTGTGTACAATTTTAGTTTATTTCACACAGTATATTGCTGATATGTTTACCGTTCATATATCTGTAGAGATTTTAAATTGCTGTCGTCTTTGTTTACAAAAGGTAATTTGTGAGCGCTACGGTGTGCGCTACTCCCACGCTATCTACAATCCATAGTTTATATAATTATGTCTATTTCGATACCGTTTGTCTACAGGTTTAGCTTATTTCAGTGTAGTCTTTGTTGCTGTTTGTTTATCTACAATTTCTAGTTTATATTATTGGGTTACTGGCGGTTTCATTTATTATGAAATAAGCTAAAGCTTTACTTCTTTCACTAGATATCTATCTAAATATCTATAATAATAGATATTTGATTTTAATTAGTATTTTATATTATGAGTGAAAATGCAAATTGTACCATAGAACAGACAAGAACGAACACGTTCGAGCACGTTCAATAAATAGTTGTTAGTGCGCATGCGTGATACCTATTTCATTAAATCTTCTCCCACAATCAAACGGTGAAGGTTTTGTGTATATATACGGCGTTTTAATCGAAATTCGAAAACTTCATACGTCCTGCAAATCAAACGTCGATTAGTTTTTGCGAGAAATATTAAAGACAACTTAGACAAGGTAAGATGCATTACTAAAGTTCATATATTATAAAATACTAAGATTTAGTTCAATTATTATGAAAAGTACTAAGAAATCGCTTCCTAATAGTTGCTGTGCCCTTGTTGGCTGCACCTATGAAGAAAGAATCTGAGGTGCCTTTGGGAAAGTCATGCAACGAACGGAGAAGTCGATTCCTACTAGTTGCTGTGCCCTTGTTGGCTGTACCTATGAAGAAATATCTGAGGTACACCTTGGGAAAGTCATGCAACGAACGGAGAAGTCGATTCTTAGTAGTTGCTGTGCCCTTGTTGGCTGCACCTATGAAGAAATATCTGAGGTGCCCCTTGGGAAAGTCATGCAACGAACGGTTTAGTTGGACTAAATAGTGCAAGGAAGCCGATTCCTAGTAGTTGCTGTGCCCTTGTTGGCTGCACCTATGAAGAAAGAATCTGAGGTGCCCTTTGGGAAAGTCATGCAACGAACGGGTTTAGTTGTTAGTTCGAAGAAATCGCTTCTAAGTGTTGCTGTACCCCTGTCGGCTGCACCTATGAAGAAAGAATCTGAGGGGCCCCTTGGGAAAGTCATTCAACGAATTAGCGGTGGTTGTACAAATTTTATTCAGTACTTCTGCAACAATAAGATGCTAAAAGTTTTCTGTTTATATTTAGTAGTTTGAATAAAAGTTGCCAATTATCATCGTGAAGTTGAAATCCAAAGAGTTGCTGTATTGAGGGTAGGTGTTTACAATTTCAACTAGTTTGAGTCACTGGTTTGAGTTGTTTCCGCTAGGGAATGTCTAGCAACGAACTGGTGGTTGTAGTCAGTGAAGTTTATTTAGGGCTGTCTTACGACAAAGCCATTACTTGCGCATGCGTGATGTTTTAATTTTATTCTCCCACAATAAGATGCTAAAGGTTATGTGTTTATATTATGCTACAGGTGTTGACGTGTTGTGTTTACGTATCTATGGCTGCAGTTGCTAAATTGGAGAATTCAATTCTATTTGTAGAATGTCTTTTACATGCAAAACCTGCTCCAAGAACTTTACGCAGCTGAGAAGTTTAACTCGTCATGAACGGTCCGTGCATGGAGAGAAGAAGTTTGTCTGTGATCTATGCAGCGCATCCTTTACACGGAAAGATGATTCGAAGCGGCATAAGAAGCGGCACGAAGGAACGATCACACATATCTGCGAAAACTGTAGGAAAGAGTTTCACCGTCGTGATAATTTAGTGGGACATCAAGCTCAATGTCAAGGGAATCCTTTGAAAAGAGGGTGTGACGAAGACCGAGATGAAGATGATAGCAGTCCAGCTCCAAAGAAAATACGAGTTCAAGTTGAAGAAGGTGAGCCAAATAGTCAAGTTGAAGAAAACCCTTGCAGTTCCACTTCAGCTTTTGACGATTCCTTGAAGAAGATCGAGTTGAAACCGCGGAAAGACCAGAAACAGGACGTGTCCCACTATCAAACCTAAACCCGACGGTGAAGATTTGACTACCGAACCCCACTTCCGTAGTCATTGTATGAAAACAGTAGCCCAACACGAACTCGATAATCAACTAGACGAAGCCAAGCAGAAAATCATCCAGTCATTGGTCATGTTTCAAAAAGAAGGAAGCGGTTGGATATTAGACGAGATCCTTCATCTTGACCTGAGCATCGCTCAGTATTCTCCAGTTAAAGGATCCAGTTATATCCCTCTACCCAGCAAGCTAAAGACTAAGAAAGCTATCATAAACGTGAAGAATTCTGATAACAAATGTTTCATGTGGTCTATCCTCGCCGCTCTACACCCAGTGAAACAGAATGCGGAAAGATTGCATCATTATCAACAGTTTCAAGATGAATTAGATTTGGCTGGTATTGAGTTTCCTGTTACTGTTGACAAGATTGAAAAATTTGAGCGTCAGAACAATATTTCTGTGAACGTGCTTGGCTTTGAGGATGTACTCTTTCCCATCTACATCACAAAGGAACACTTTGATACCCACGTAAACCTATTACTATACTCCCAGGGAACAACTAGACATTACTGCCGCATCAAAGATCTGAATAAATTACTCTACAGCCAAAACCGGAAAAAGGCTCGTATGTATTACTGTCGTTACTGTCTTCATGGATTTATCCGAGACGATCTCCTCCAAGAACACGAACCCCATTGCTCTCAACACGGTCCACAACGTATTGAACTCCCGAATGAAGATAATGCTCAACTGTCCTTTAAAGACTACCACAAGCAGTTGAAAGTGCCCTTTGCAATCTACGCCGACTTCGAAAGTTTTACCACCAAGATCAACTTAGTTAAGCAAAATCCTGAAAAATCCTTCACTGAAAAATACCAACACCACCAACCTTGTGGATTTTCCTACATTGTTGTATCCGACCATGCGAAGTACTCCGAACCACCCGTTGTGTATCGCGGAGAAGATGCAGTCGACGAATTTTTAAAGTGTTTAGAAGAAGAGCAGAAATATATTCAAGAGAAACTGGATTGGGTCGAACCCATGCGAATTGAGAGAGAAGAAGAGCAAGCGTTTCAAGATGCAGTCCATTGTCATATTTGTGGATATGAATTGGGTTCTGATCGTGTTCGCGACCACTGTCATGTTTCAGGAAAGTACCGTGGGGCTGCACACAACGATTGCAATTTGAACTATAGTTTTACCGGCCGAATTCCTGTTATTCTTCACAATCTACGTGGGTATGATTCTCATCTCATCATGCAAGGACTCGGTAAACTCAAAGAGAAGAAGATCAACTGCATTCCAAACAACACCGAAAAGTACATCTCCTTCTCCATCGATAATTTGGATTATATCGACTCCCTACAATTCATGAATGCATCGTTGGAGAAGTTAGTATCCAATCTAGCAAAGGACGGCGTTGAAAAGTTCCCCATTCTCAAGAAATACATCGACAGCGACAAAATATCCCTTCTGCTAAGAAAAGGTGTCTACCCCTACGACTACATGGACTGCATAGAGAGATTTGAAAAACCAATCTTACCACCGAAGGAATCCTTCTACAATGTGTTGAACGACGAACATATTTCAGACGAAGATTACGCACACGCGACGAATGTATTTAACAAGTTTTCCTGTCGGAACATGGGTGATTACCATGATTTGTACTTGACGTCGGACGTTCTTCTCCTTGCGGATGTGTTTGAAAATTTTCGAAGCGTATGCCTCAAAGCCTACAACTTGGATCCCTGCCACTTCTATACAAGTCCTGGTCTAGCCTGGCAAGCGTGTTTGAAAATGACTGAAGTCGAACTCGAGCTGCTGACCGATCCAGACATGTATCTATTCATCGAAGAAGGTCTTCGCGGTGGAATTTCAATGATTAGCAACCGTTATGGTAAAGCTAACAATCCATACATACCCGATTATGACCCAGAAAAAGAGACTTCTTACGTGATGTATCTTGATGCTAACAACCTCTACGGCTGGGCAATGTCACAACCTCTACCCACGGGTGAGTTTGACTGGCTAACCGACCAAGAGATCGCAGAACTTGACATCACAGACGTTGCTGACGATGACGAAAAAGGCTACATATTGGAAGTAGACCTTCACTATCCCTCCGATTTACACGATCTTCACAACGATTATCCTCTAGCACCTGAGAAAATGAAGATTCTTCAGAAATGTTGTCACCATACTGCCAGGATCTGTCGGAAAGTTTGCAACTTCGTGGTGGCGCTGTATCTAAATTGATGCCGAATCTTCAGACAAGACCAACTATGTGGTCCATTACCGTAATTTAAAGCAATACCTGACACTTGGCATGAAGTTGAAAGATCCACCGCGTTTAGTATTCCAGCAAAGCACATGGCTAAAGTCTTATATTGATTTTAACACCGGGAAACGAAAGCACGCTGCAAACGACTTCGAGAAAGATTTTTTTAAACTGATGAACACTCGGTGTTTGGTAAAACCATGGAAAATTTGAGAAGGCGCGTCAACGTCAAACTCGTCAACGACAAGACGAAACTATCAAAACTAATAGCGTCCCTTCCTTTGACTACTTCCGTATTTCTCAGAAGATTTAGCGGCCGTCAACATGAGAAAGACGAAGCTTTACCTAAACCGTCCCATCTATGTCGGATTCGCCATCCTGGATCTTTCCAAAGTACTCATGTACCAGTTCATTACGAGTACATGAAACGCAAGTATGACTGCAACGCAAAGTTGCTGTTCACAGACACGGACAGCCTTTTTATGAGATCAAGACCGACGACGTTTATCAAGATATGTTGCAAGACATCGATCTTTGACACGTCCGATACGCGCGAGACCATCCATTGCACAGCCTGACGAATAAGAAAGTCCTCGGCAAGATGAAGGATGAAACGCACGGCATACCCATACAAGAGTTTGTTGGTTGAGACCCAAGATGTACTCCATCCTTTACACAGAAAACGACAAGCAAGTGGAGAAGAAAACTGCCAAAGGGATAAAGAAGTCCGTAACAAAACGAAAGCTCCGACATACTAGTTACAAAGAATGCTTGTTTGAGAAGAAACGGACAATGGCTAGCATGAATCAGATTCGAAGTGAACGCCATGAAATCTACTCCATTACACTTAATAAAATAGGTCTTAGTCCTTATGACGACAAACGATATATTTTAAACGATGGAGTGAACACACTTGCTTATGGACATTACAATGCAAAGTAATAAGAACTGCATATATCAGTACATATATGCTAGCTATATTCAATTTGGTCACAGCCTATTTAGTGGGTTTGCACAATTCTCTATAACTTTTACAAAATTTTTTAGCTTAAGGGTGTATATTGCCCTAACGTGTATTATGTTTATTATGTTTTAAAACACTGAAATGCTTACCCTCTGTAAATATATAATTTTTAATATTCACAGATAATCACAGTTTGATAAAGGGTATATAGTATGCATGTAATATATGATAAATTCGTGTAACTATATATTATGTAACTTGAATTTTTATGAAATATATTCCTTTACAAATTGCATATGACCTGTTGTGTTTTATAGCTAAGTCTTTCAATCTACGTCTACATACAAGGTATTCTGCGAGATAAAAAATTCAATAAACATGCTTTCACACCTTATCCATGGACGATAGTCGATTGCTTCGTTTGTTTGTTTGTTTTTAAAGAATAACGCATGTAAAATACACCAAACTTCATATCACGCCATTTTTTTTGTTGTCTGCTTTGACATTACAACGACGTGGTTGCTGTTTCTTTGTAGTCGATCTTTTGGATGGTCTGTCTTGTTTGAGTCGAGTAAGAGGTTTGTCGGGTTGTTCATTCGGTTCTCTAACTTCTTTAGAAGCTCTGATATATTTATTAATGTTCACTTCCATATTTTCTTGTCGTTTTTAACTTTGTGTGTTTTCTAAATAATATTATGACCTGATATAGGTTTTGTAATTTATTGAAAATTGTCTGAAAATATAGCTTTTCAATAACCGTATACTTATTGTATATTTCTCTCGGACAGCCCCTTCACACAAACACTCCTAGCTTTTCCGGGACACCAGGGACAAAAAAAGTCCCGGAAGGGACACTTTAAATTTTCCAGGGACACCAGGGACTAAAAAAGTCCCTGAAGGGACATTTTAAATCTTACAGGGACACCAGGGACTAAAAAAGTCCCTGAAGGGACACTTTAAATCTTACAGGGACACCAGAGACTAAAAAAGTCCCTGAAGGGACACTTTAAATTTTCCAGGGACACCAAGTCCCTGAAGGGACACTTCAAATCTTTCAGGGACACCAGGGACTTTTTTAGTCCCAGACAGACCATCCAAAAGATCGACTACAAAGAAACAGCAACCACGTCGTTGTAATGTCAAAGCAGACAACAAAAAAAATGGCGTGATATGAAGTTTGGTGTATTTTACATGCGTTATTCTTTAAAAACAAACAAACAAACGAAGCAATCGACTATCGTCCATGGATAAGGTGTGAAAGCATGTTTATTGAATTTTTTATCTCGCAGAATACCTTGTATGTAGACGTAGATTGAAAGACTTAGCTATAAAACACAACAGGTCATATGCAATTTGTAAAGGAATATATTTCATAAAAATTCAAGTTACATAATTATATAGTTACACGAATTTATCATATATTACATGCATACTATATACCCTTTATCAAACTGTGATTATCTGTGAATATTAAAAATTATTATATATTTACAGAGGGTAAGCATTTCAGTGTTTTAAAACATAATAAACATAATACACGTTAGGGCAATATACACCCTTAAGCTAAAAAATTTTGTAAAAGTTATAGAGAATTGTGCAAACCCACTAAATAGGCTGTGACCAAATTGAATATAGCTAGCATATATATGTACTGATATATGCAGTTCTTATTACTTTGCATTGTAATGTCCATAAGCAAGTGTGTTCACTCCATCGTTTAAAATATATCGTTTGTCGTCATAAGGACTAAGACCTATTTTATTAAGTGTAATGGAGTAGATTTCATGGCGTTCACTTCGAATCTGATTCATGCTAGCCATTGTCCGTTTCTTCTCAAACAAGCATTCTTTGTAATTAGTATGTCGGAGCTTTCGTTTTGTTACGGACTTCTTTATCCCTTTGGCAGTTTTCTTCTCCACTTGCTTGTCGTTTTCTGTGTAAAGGATGGAGTACATCTTGGGTCTCAAACCAACAAACTCTTGTATGGGTATGCCGTGCGTTTCATCCTTCATCTTGCCGAGGACTTTCTTATTCGTCAGGCTGTGCAATGGATGGTCTCGCGCGTATTCGGACGTGTCAAAGAGATCGATGTCTTGCAACATATCTTGATAAACGTCGTCGGTCTTGATCTCATAACAAAGGCTGTCCGTGTCTGTGAACAGCAACTTTGCGTTGCAGTCATACTTGCGTTTCATGTACTCGTAATGAAACTGGTACATGAGTACTTTGGAAAGATCCAGGATGGCGAATCCGACATAGATGGGACGGTTTAGGTAAAGCTTCGTCTTTCTCATGTTGACGGCCGCTAAATCTTCTGAGAATATACGGAAGTAGTCAAAGGAAGGGGACGCTATTAGTTTTGATAGTTTCGTCTTGTCGTTGACGAGTTTGACGTTGACGCGCCTTCTCAAATTTTCCATGGTTTTACCAAACACCGAGTTGTTCATCAGTTTAAAAAAATCTTTCTCGAAGTCGTTTGCAGCGTGCTTTCGTTTCCCGGTGTTAAAATCAATATAAGACTTTAGCCATGTGCTTTGCTGGAATACTAAAACGCGGTGGATCTTTGTCAACTTCATGCCAAGTGTCAGGTATTGCTTTAAATTACGGTAATGGACCACATAGTTGGTCTTGTCTTGAAGATTCGGCATCAATTTAGATACAGCGCCACCACGAAGTTGCAAACTTTCCGACAGATCCTGGCAGTATGGTGACAACATTTCTGAAGAAATCTTCATTTTCTCAGGTGCTAGAGGATAATCGTTGTGAAGATCGTGTAAATCGGAGGGATAGTGAAGGTCTACTTCCAATATGTAGCCTTTTTCGTCATCGTCAGCAACGTCTGTGATGTCAAGTTCTGCGATCTCTTGGTCGGTTAGCCAGTCAAACTCACCCGTGGGTAGAGGTTGTGACATTGCCCAGCCGTAGAGGTTGTTAGCATCAAGATACATCACGTAAGAAGTCTCTTTTTCTGGGTCATAATCGGGTATGTATGGATTGTTAGCTTTACCATAACGGTTGCTAATCATTGAAATTCCACCGCGAAGACCTTCTTCGATGAATAGATACATGTCTGGATCGGTCAGCAGCTCGAGTTCGACTTCAGTCATTTTCAAACACGCTTGCCAGGCTAGACCAGGACTTGTATAGAAGTGGCAGGGATCCAAGTTGTAGGCTTTGAGGCATACGCTTCGAAAATTTTCAAACACATCCGCAAGGAGAAGAACGTCCGACGTCAAGTACAAATCATGGTAATCACCCATGTTCCGACAGGAAAACTTGTTAAATACATTCGTCGCGTGTGCGTAATCTTCGTCTGAAATATGTTCGTCGTTCAACACATTGTAGAAGGATTCCTTCGGTGGTAAGATTGGTTTTCAAATCTCTCTATGCAGTCCATGTAGTCGTAGGGGTAGACACCTTTTCTTAGCAGAAGGGATATTTTGTCGCTGTCGATGTATTTCTTGAGAATGGGGAACTTTTCAACGCCGTCCTTTGCTAGATTGGATACTAACTTCTCCAACGATGCATTCATGAATTGTAGGGAGTCGATATAATCCAAATTATCGATGGAGAAGGAGATGTACTTTTCGGTGTTGTTTGGAATGCAGTTGATCTTCTTCTCTTTGAGTTTACCGAGTCCTTGCATGATGAGATGAGAATCATACCCACGTAGATTGTGAAGAATAACAGGAATTCGGCCGGTAAAACTATAGTTCAAATTGCAATCGTTGTGTGCAGCCCCACGGTACTTTCCTGAAAGATGACAGTGGTCGCGAACACGATCAGAACCCAATTCATATCCACAAATATGACAATGGACTGCATCTTGAAACGCTTGCTCTTCTTCTCTCTCAATTCGCATGGGTTCGACCCAATCCAGTTTCTCTTGAATATATTTCTGCTCTTCTTCTAAACACTTTAAAAATTGTCGACTGCATCTTCTCCGCGATACACAACGGGTGGTTGGAGTACTTCGCATGGTCGGATACAACAATGTAGGAAAATCCACAAGGTTGGTGGTGTTGGTATTTTTCAGTGAAGGATTTTTCAGGATTTTGTTTAACTAAGTTGATCTTGGTGGTAAAACTTTCGAAGTCGGCGTAGATTGCAAAGGGCACTTTCAACTGCTTGTGGTAGTCTTTAAAGGACAGTTGAGCATTATCTTCATTCGGGAGTTCAATACGTTGTGGACCGTGTTGAGAGCAATGGGGTTCGTGTTCTTGGAGGAGATCGTCTCGGATAAATCCATGAAGACAGTAACGACAGTAATACATACGAGCCTTTTTCCGGTTTTGGCTGTAGAGTAATTTATTCAGATCTTTGATGCGGCAGTAATGTCTAGTTGTTCCCTGGGAGTATAGTAATAGGTTTACGTGGGTATCAAAGTGTTCCTTTGTGATGTAGATGGGAAAGAGTACATCCTCAAAGCCAAGCACGTTCACAGAAATATTGTTCTGACGCTCAAATTTTTCAATCTTGTCAACAGTAACAGGAAACTCAATACCAGCCAAATCTAATTCATCTTGAAACTGTTGATAATGATGATCTTTCCGCATTCTGTTTCACTGGGTGTAGAGCGGCGAGGATAGACCACATGAAACATTTGTTATCAGAATTCTTCACGTTTATGATAGCTTTCTTAGTCTTTAGCTTGCTGGGTAGAGGGATATAACTGGATCCTTTAACTGGAGAATACTGAGCGATGCTCAGGTCAAGATGAAGGATCTCGTCTAATATCCAACCGCTTCCTTCTTTTTGAAACATGACCAATGACTGGATGATTTTCTGCTTGGCTTCGTCTAGTTGATTATCGAGTTCGTGTTGGGCTACTGTTTTCATACAATGACTACGGAAGTGGGGTTCGGTAGTCAAATCTTCACCGTCGGGTTTAGGTTTGATAGTGGGACACGTCCTGTTTCTGGTCTTTCCGCGGTTTCAACTCGATCTTCTTCAAGGAATCGTCAAAAGCTGAAGTGGAACTGCAAGGGTTTTCTTCAACTTGACTATTTGGCTCACCTTCTTCAACTTGAACTCGTATTTTCTTTGGAGCTGGACTGCTATCATCTTCATCTCGGTCTTCGTCACACCCTCTTTTCAAAGGATTCCCTTGACATTGATATTGATAGGTGCAGCCAACAAGGGCACAGCAACTACTAGGAAGCGATTTCTTAGTACTTTTTATAATAATTGAACTAAATCTTAGTATTTTATAATATATGAACTTTAGTTAATGCATCTTACCTTGTCTAAGTTGTCTTTTAATATTTCTCGCAAAAACTAATCGACGTTTGATTTGCAGGACGTATGAAGTTTTCGAATTTCGATTAAAACGCCGTATATATACACAAAACCTTCACCGTTTGATTGTGGGAGAAGATTTAATGAAATAGGTATCACGCATGCGCACTAACAACTATTTATTGAACGTGCTCGAACGTGTTCGTTCTTGTCTGTTCTATGGTACAATTTGCATTTTCACTCATAATATAAAATACTAATTAAAATCAAATATCTATTATTATAGATATTTAGATAGATATCTAGTGAAAGAAGTAAAGCTTTAGCTTATTTCATAATAAATGAAACCGCCAGTAACCCAATAATAAACTAAATTGTAGATAAACAAACAGCAACAAAGACTACACTGAAATAAGCTAAACCTGTAGACAAACGGTATCGAAATAGACATAATTATATAAACTATGGATTGTAGATAGCGTGGGAGTAGCGCACACCGTAGCGCTCACAAATTACCTTTTGTAAACAAAGACGACAGCAATTTAAAATCTCTACAGATATATGAACGGTAACCATATCAGCAATATACTGTGTGAAATAAACTAAAATTGTACACAGCTAACGGTAATGAAGTACCCAGACACTACCGAACGATGTAGATAAATAAACGGTAGCGAAATCGCATGAAAATAAACCGAAATTGCTGAGTAACAAACCGGCAAAGCTCAAGTGCTCAACTATATTAAAATTACCTGAATAAATTAAAATATTTAAGATTCGACGACGTCATCGGTGGTGCATCGTGCACCGCCTGCACCGCCTGCTCCAGAACCCCCCTTCTCTATACTACTTGACTATAAAAGAACAAAAATGTACAGAATATACGGTATAATAACTTCGTAATAATTTTAGTTGCATATGATCCGTTCCTTATTAACACTTAGATGGAAGAGGAACGCAAATGTATTCAAGAAAGGAATTCCAAGAAAATGCTTCGTTGACATGGAAGGAACAATATGTTCAAAATCTTCTCCATCTTTACCAACTGAGGTAATTCTACTTTTGGACATTTGTATACTTAACTTAATTTATAACTAATGATCTTCTTTTTAATGTCTCCTAGAGCTCAGATTGGAAATATTCCGGAAGGAGATCACAGCCAACTTACAGATGTGGTGAAAAAAAGCAAAAAGTATAACAATTTTGTCGAGGGTTGTAACTTGATGAATCAGCTTACTAGTGTATTGCATTCTCAACATTGTTACGTTGTCTCACGGATTCTTTTCTAATAGGGTTTTAAAAGCTGTTCAGCGTATAGAAAAACAACAAAAACTCAAAAAGAGATGGAAAACTGGAGAGAGTAAGTTCAACGCCACCGCCATTTCTCTGGAACAAAGAAGGCAAGAGTCTGTGATGGAATTGACCTACTCTTCAGCGGTTGAAAGAATGTTTCTTATCTCTCTGAAGAACAAGTACGCAGGTAATGTATACGACAGGAAGGTTTTCAGGTAGTGTATTTTTATAACTTTAATATTTCTTGGTAGATGGGCAAGCAATTGCAGTCAAATTGTCCAAACAAATTTCACAAAGAACCATTGCCATCAAAGCTGCAGTTACCAGGTACAATGCATCATTGAATTCACTGGAAGACTGGATCCAAGAATTACCAGCAGAAATGCAATTTGAGGAAGCCAAAGATCCAAATTCCGTCATATACTTCCACCTAAATCACCAACAAACCAACGACACAGTGCCTTCCGCTGTGAAGAGAGCTGCAATTGATTCACATAATTTCTTAGAAGGGTGCAAAGAAGAACAGAGTATTCTGCTTTTAGAAGTCGAAAGGCTGTTTCGATACTATGTGGACAGAAAAGAAGAACTTGATAAGAACTGCATCACGCACTCTGGGGATCAACCAATGCTCGTGAATGGTTTAATTGCAATGGCAAAGCAAGAAATTGTTGAAATATATAACGCATTATTTTTATTGAAGTCAAACCTTTCTGAGCACCTCAATGTGGAAGATATAATGATGGATGAATTATGTATCAAAAAAATTGAAGCAGAACATTCGTGTGCTATAAAGGTATGGGAAGAGAATTTGAATCCATTTCAAGTTTCGATGACGAAGTAGACGAAGAAGACACGCCATTGCTGGATTTTTCCGAGGACGATTCGGAAAGTTCCGATGACCGTCTAGAATAAACAGTGAAGTCACTAAGACACACGCAGATAAAAAAGTGTAAATTCATATTTAAATACAATGTGGTCATGGGATCTTGTAAGCAGGTCATGTGGTCGTGTAAACATGATTGTCCTACTTAAGGACTGTGTACTAGATTACAAACAAATTATACGCACAGAGCTTGTTCACACTCCAATGTATTTTTGTGTGCTTCATTTACATTCTAATTTAATTTATGTCAACTTACCCCATCTTAGGGTGCTTTACCACACTCTCATAGCATAGGTCACCTTAACTTGCAGCATAGTGGGGTGCTCAAATTGATACTTAAACGTAAATTAGATCATGTTGATTATTGTGCAATTTTTACATCTTAACCTAAGATGTGGTCATGGGATCCTGTAATCAGGTCATGTGGTCGTGTAAACATGTTTGTCCTACTAAAGGACTGGGTACTAGATTGGGGACGAATTACACGCACTGCGCTTGTTCACACTCCAATGTATTTTTGAGTGCTTCATTTACATTCTAATTTAATAACTGCACTCTAACGAACACTCTAACATCACCTTGCCCTATCTTGGGGTGCTTGGTCACACTCAAACGTAAGTTAGATTATGTCGCTTGTTAGTGTATTTCAAAAAAGTAATCTTTAATGTACATGGTTTACTTAATTACAACATGAAGCAGAACATGATGAACGTAACAACAGATAGTTTGTAAATACAAGCCCAATACAAATGCAGTGTTTCCCTATGATGACGATAAAAATTTGGGTTGGGACGAGCTTGTGGCATCCGCAGTCAATCAGAAGCTCTCATTTCTCTTTATCATATTTACAAACAGCAGAGTCTGCCAAAGAGCCGCTTGAATTAACTTCAAATCTTAACTACAATATACTTAATTAAGAAAATCCCTGATGCTCCAAACACTTCACAATTGAAGTGTCAAAATCTACTGGCAGAACAATTGTCGTACGATTACATAGGAGCAAATGTTTCTTCAGCCGCAACGACCCAAGATTGCCATCAAAACAAATCACATTTAAGGCTTTGATTGATGTCTTTTTATGGAGAAGTTTAAATTCTAAATTTGAGGTCGCTTTATCCAGCCAATATCCTGAAATGCTGTCTTCTGGACTTAGAGATTCTATCTCCGTTGCGGTCCCAGGATGATAGAAAAGCCAATATGGGTCTTCTGTCTCGGTGTAAACTGGTAGAATATAACCTTTGTGTCTGAAACTGCTCTGATAGTTCGCGATAAGCGCTGACATAGCATCCTTTTCAAAATGACTGTGTAAATCTGTCATCAGGACCACCCGTTTCACCTATTCTAAAACGCTTAAAGCGTTAGTTCTAAAATTTAGAATTGCGCTTTGATGCGTCACCGGAATGTTGCCTGTGCATTCCGTGAAGTATAAAGCCTTGGTCAAACGGCTGCAACATTTTGTTGCAACATCGTCCAACAATGTTGCAACAAAATGTTGCGGTCGTTTGACCACCCTTTTACAGAATGTTAATTGCATGATGTTAGAACATGTTGCGTTGAGTTTGACTCCAGTCAAATTTTAACGCAACATTTTGTCACAATTTCTGGAGTTGCGATCGTTTGACCACTTGCAAACAACATTGTTGTCGTTGGGCATGCGCATCAGATGTTCATGGCATGAAATTTGAATACAAGATGGCGGCAATATTGCTCACCTAGGCAACATATGCCGGGATTGGCAACATATGCCGGGATTGGCAACATATGCCGGGATTGGCAAAATGTGAAAGATGACGAAGGTTGGTACGGTTTGACCAGTCTGGTCGAATATGATGACAACAAGCCGCAACATGTGCCAACCATGTTGCACGATGTTGCAACAAAATGTTGCGGCCGTTTGACCAAGGCTTAACAACTAGTACCCAGTAGTACGCAGTGTGTGATCCTCAGAGATTGATGTAGAATTCAAAATGGCAGCCAGACCGCCTAAGCGATTCAAGTCATGTAAACTTCGAGTGCGCTCAGTTTCGACGAGTGGTAGGAAAACTACCAGGAGAATCGCCCTGAAGAGGTCAAATTCCTCCGATTCCTCTAAATTAGAGTCAAATTCAGCGCCATCACGTACGAAAGAACAAGATATTCGGC